ATGTTATCTTCTATTCCATTTCCTGCCTTATCTCCATCCCACAATGAATCATTGTTGCTTCCACTCACTTTAGAAGAGCTAACAATGGTGATCAAACAACTAAATCCACATAAGGCTCTTGGCCCCGATGGATTCACCCTTTATTTTTATTAGTATTTTTTGGAGCAAGTTGGACCAGACATCTTTGAAATGTCACTGAAATTTTTCAACATTGAATTTTTGTCCAAAGAGATAAATAACACAAACCTGGTGTTTATTCCAAAAAGCAATCAGCTAGTGGATACTTCAAGTTTTCGGCCTATCAACCTATGCGATGTGATCTACAAAATAATAACAAAATGGATAGCCACACAACCTGATTCTGCAAGAGTTGATCTCACCTTTTCAATTAGGATTTCTCAAAGGAAAACAAATATTAGACAATATTCTTTTGGTTTCTCCACAAAATGAAACAACAAAAAAATGTTAGGGTTTCATAGCTCTCAAACTGGACATGTCCAAAGCATTTGATCGGATGAGCTGGTCTTTTCTATACCATGTTCTTCAAAAGATGGAGTTTCCAACCAAATGGTGTAACATGATCTATCAATGCATATCCACTACTACCTTTTGCATTAAATTGGTAGGGGAATCATATGACCACTTCAAATTGAATCGGGGAGTCCGGTAAGGTGATCCCATTTCTCCTTACCTTTTTATCATAGGTAAGGAAGTTCTTACACATGTTATGCCAAGCCTCTACAGCCAGGAAATTTGAAGGAGTGAAAATTAGTCGAAATAATTCCCCCATCACTCACCTTCTATTTGCAGATGACTGCATCCTCTTCTGTAAGGCGGATGTAACTCATGTTAAAATCTTGCAATCTTTTGAAGCCATATCTGGTAAAAAAATAAATTACTCTAAGTCAAGCATTTTTTTTCAGTAGGAATGTACCTCGACACCATAGGAAATTCTTCTCTCATATGCTTCATGTAAAGAAACCCCTGCTTGGATCCAAATATCTTGGCATTCAAGTTGGTATAGACATCTGTCTCAATGGCTCTCATAAGGAGGTCAATGAAAGGGTACATTTGAAAATTGGTTCTTGGAGTTCTAAGTTATTGTCACAAGCGGGTAGAACCACATTAGTTAAATCTGTTCTACAAGCAATCCCTGTATACCCCATGTCAACATCTATTTTACCAAAGTCAACCACCTCGTCCCTTGACAAAATGATAAGAACCTTCTGGTGGGGGGATTGCAACAAAAATTCCCATCATACCATTGCTTGGAGGAAGGTATGTCTACCAAAAAACCATGGAGGTTTGGGTTTTAGATCTTTTGACTCTATAATCAAGCAATGTTTAGTAAGCAGATATGGAGGGAGCACGCAAATCAAGTCCAGGTATTTTCCAAACACCTCTATCTTCTCTGCAAAAAAAAGGCAAATACAATTCACAATGGTGGCAACAAGCCCGTAGGATGGCACTTCTACTAAGACCCAACTTACTATGGTCAATCAAGGATGGTATGACAATATCAGCTTACCACAATCCTTGGGTTTTTACACTGCCAGGACAAGTTCCATCGCCAACCTCGCCATTTCAATCACAACGGCCTAGATTGAAAGTCTAGAACTAATAAATTCTAATGGATCTTGGAACTTCCTTTGGCTACAAGAGTGTTTTCATGCTTCCACTTTCCAATACATACTAGAAGTGACACCAGAGCCTAGCCAAACCATCAATCTACTAGTTTGGAAGTACAATACATCAAGCATCTATTCAGTCAAATCGACATCTCTTCCCATCTTTAGGGGCTTCAGTATCCTCCACATATTTTAACTGGAAATTACTATGGCAGCTAAAAGTGCCATACAGATTCCAAATTTTTCTTTGGAATGTCCTTTGGGACGATTTGCTCAAAAAACAAAAGTGCTCGTCCTGGTTAAATGAATAGGATTGGCTTTGCTTTTTTTGCAAAGTACAAGAAGAAACACTTCATCATCTCCTTTTTCAGTGCCCGTTTGCACGAGCTATTTGGTTTGGTGCCCAAATCGGCTTAAACCCCCTCTACCATAGGTTAGGACCTGATTCACACTATCATCATTAATTGGTCTACAAGGATGCATTCAATATTGGGTAAGCAACAAGCAATAACAAATCTAGGCAGATTTGCTTTGATCATTTATCATATATGGAATGCAAGGAACAAGAAAATATTCGAAAATATTGATATGGATCCCATGCAAGTAGTTAATTTAGCAATGTCCTTCCAATGGGATCATCCAACAAATGAGGGAAGGCCACCTCAACACCAACTACCATCTTCTAGTCACTTGCCTTGTTTATTTACTGATGGCTCTTATGATCCAGCTTCAGGTGCTGCAGGACAAGGCTTCATCATCCGACATGGCATAGAAACTTACACCATTGCAGAAGGAAGACCTTCATGGGCACTCTCAAGCTATGACACTAAAATTCGAGCCATGTTAAGTGGACTGCAAACGTCTCTCTCTCATGGTATTAGTTGTCTTTTGGTATATATAGATAATGCTACTTTAGTAGATTTTGCAAGAACAGATCGAGTTGCTTACTGGATCGAACAGTTACATAAAAGTCACTTGAGACGACTCGTTAACTCTTTTAATTATATACATTTTGCACATATTGTAAGGCAACAGAACCAGGCATCACACCTTTTAGCTTACTTGTCTTGTAAGGGTCTAATCCGAGTTCGCTACAACTCGAGACAATCCCCTCATGTAACTTTTTCTATATAAATATTTTCCTTTCCTTTTGACAAAAAAAATTAGTATCTATTAAATACTGAGTTTGGGCATTCTAATGATTTCAAATGTTAATGTCCATCCTCACATACCTAGCAAGGTTCCACTCAGCCGGTTTTGTTGGTCGTAGCAGAGATTTGGGATTGAATCC